AAAAAAAAAAAAAAAAAAAAATTTACATTTAATATCACTATTCAAAAAAGAAAGATTTGCAAAAATAAGCTCTTTGTTTGCTTGTATTTTTGAGACAGAATCACGTTCTCTTGCTCAGGCTGGAGTGCAGTGGCACGATCTCAGCTCGCTGCAACCTCCCCCTCCTGGTTTCAAGTGATTCTCCTGCCTCACCTTCCCCAGTAGCTGGGATTACAGGTGTGCACCACCATGCCTGGCTATTTCATATTTTTAGTAGAGATGGGGTTTCACTATGTTGGCCAGGCTGGTCTCACACTCCTGACCTCAAGAGATCCACCCAGCTTGGTCTCCCAAAGTGTTGGGATTATAGGCATAAGCCACCTCAACCGGCCAAAAATAAGCTTTAAAATAGATGCTTCTCCAGTGATAAGAACATATCCATGTGAAGTATAACCTCACTCAGTTAAAGAAACTTAACAGTGAGTTAACAGTTTTCACTTATGAGATTGATAAAACTTGTTAACCCATTTTTGACAAAGATGTGGGGAAACAGGAACTATTTTGTGTGTGTGAGACAGAGTCTTGCTCTGTCTGCCAGTCTGGAGTGCAGTGGCACAATCTCAGCTCACTGCAACCTCTACCTCCTGGGCTCAAGCGATTCTTGTGCCTCAGCCTCCTGAGCAGCTGGGACTACAGGCGCTTGCAATCATGTCCGGTTAATTTTTGTATTTTTAGTAGAGACGGGGTTTCACCGTGTTGGCCAGGCTAGTCTCGAACTCCTTGACCTTAAGTGATCCACCTGCCTCAGCTTCCCAAAGTCCTGGGATAACAGGCGTGAGCCACCACATCTGGCCAAGCAGGCACTTTTATATTCTTGAGGGATTGTATACAGGTTCAACAATTTTAGAGGACAATTTGGCAATATCAAAATTTTAAAGGCACATTATCTTAATCCAGAAATTCTACAGTGAGAAAAATATATTGAGAACATAATTGGGCTAATATGCAAGGTTATATAAGGATTTTGATAGCATTGGCTAAAATATTAACCAACTGGAAACAACTTGAGTGTTCTTCATTGAGGACCAGATAAATTTTGGTCCCTTTGCATAATAGAATACTACACAAACTGTTAAAAAGAAGGTGCTGATAAATTACATCATCCAACATATTAAGTTAAAACCAGCTAGATATAGAACAGTATGATCTCATTTGTGTTTTTAAGGAATTGTGTATATATATATATATATATATATACTTCCTAAAACCTATGTAAATATGAAATATCTTTTATCATAGGAATGTCTTCTAGAAGAACATAAAGCAACAAAATAACAACTAACATTTATTGAGTATTTACTATGTGCCAATTCTGTTCTCAACATTTTGCACTTTATTTAATTCCCACAATGACCCTATGAAGTAGGTACTATTATTTTCCCCATTTGACAGATGAGAAAATTAAATCAGGGTTGATAAATAATTTAAATAATTTACTCAAGGTCACAGACAGTCAAGTGAAAAAACAAAGCTTATCTTTAGGGAATAAAATGGGGACTTGGACATAGTAAGAGAGTGATTCTTATGTTTTAGCTTACGCCCTTCTGTTTTTTTTTTGAGATGGAGTTTCACTCTTGTTACCCAGACTAGAGTGCAATGGCATGATCTTGGCTCACCACAACTTCTGACTTTCGGGTTCAAACCAGGATTACAGGCATGTGCAACCACACCCGGCTAATTTTTTGTATTAGTATAGGCAGGGTTTCTCCATGTTGGTCAGGCTTGTCTCAAAAACCTGACCTCAGGTGATCTACCCGCCTCGGCCTCCCAAAGTGCTGGGATTACAGACGTGAGCCACCACGCCTGGCCTATGCTCTTCTATACTATTTGAAATATCTGCAATCACATGTGTTTATACAATAATAATAATATTTTCTTTAATTTCACGAACAGCCCAGTTTACACTTACTTTTTTGCAGTTACACCCCCAGATTATCAGCCTCCTGGTTTTAAGGATGGTGATTGTGAAGGAGTTATATTTGAAGGGGAGCCTATGTATTTAAATGTGGGAGAAGTCTCAACACCTTTTCACACCTTCAAAGTAAAAGTGACCACCGAGAGAGAAAGAATGGAAAATGTTGATTCAAGTATACTGTCACCAAAACAAATAAAAACACCATTTCCAAAAATCCTGAGAGACAAAGATGTAGAAGATGAGCAGGAGCATTATGCAAATGTAAGTGTATTTAAAGAGTTACAAAGAACAATAATAACAAATGTTTGACTCAATTCTGAAGATTTTCATAGCTCCCATTAACATTTGTGTAAATTCTATATTATAATCATAAACTCAAGGTTGGAAGGGACCTTAAGTCTAGGCCTATAGTTTTAAAACTTTTTACTTAGTCCAAACAACATGATACTAGAACTGAAAAGCACAACTATTCTGGGTGAAGCATGGATGGTCCTGGAGGCCCTACCACTCTCTACATCACCTACCTTCATAGTGGACTCTGAGGAAACCCCTAGGACTCTAGGGCATAATTTCAAAAACATTGCACTAGTCCAACACCCAACTAATGATGGAATCTTTTCTACGACATCCCTACTAAGTGTTCAGCTAGCCTGTGCTTGAATTTCTCCAGAGCCTGGAAAGTCACTGTTCTGAAGCAGCCTGGAGGGGCCCGGAAGTCAGGAAAAGTGTCTTATTCAATTTTGTAATCATCCTGTGCCTAGCACTTGGATTTGTAATCAGTGCATCCTAAGTATTAATTGAGTGAATGGATGAATAGAAGTATAAAAGAGTTTTTTGGTTGCCTCACTTCCAGCAAATGTGTAAGTCATCATTGCTTTAATCTTTCAAGCATTAACATTATGTCCTTTAATCTCACTTCTCTTGTTTTCTCTGTCTCAATTTATTCTAAATTATGAATACAGTACTTTATATAAAGAGATTTACTATTCTGATTAGGCTCCATGACCATATTTTTACACATGGAAAATTCAATAAATTTTCAACCAATTCAGTCAAAGAAGAAAACTTTTTTCTAAGACCTAAATCTCAGTCTTGCTTTATAAAAAATGTGGCTGGGGTGTTTGTAGCAATCTTTAAAATATTTAAATCTATTTCACATGTATCACAAAGGGAACAATGATTATAATGTAAACATTAAACCTGTTGCTATTTCTACCATAGCATGACTGAGCTTACACTTCAATAGCTCTCGGAAGACAGGTGGGGCATATTTAGAGTGTATGCAAACATTTGTATGGAAATTCCAGAGCTATATAGAAGTGGTAGTTTGTTGTGTGAACATGTCTAATTCAGTGCACTCAAAGAGTAGTAAGATCTTAGAATCATCATACACTTTAGAGAAAGTTGTGTGTGTGTGTGTATATATATGTGTATATATATGTGTGTATATATAGATATACATATATATGTATATATATATATATATTTTTTTTTTCTTGTTGCCCAGGCTGTAGTGCAATGACACCATCTCAGCTCACCACAACCTCCGCCTCCTGGGTTCAAGCAATTCTCCTGTCTCAGCCTCCTGAGTAGCTGGGATTACAGGCGTGCACCACCACACCTGACTAATTTTTTATTTTTAGTAGAGACAGAGTTTCTCCATGTTGGTCAGGCTGGTCTTGAACTCCCGTCCTCAGGTGATCTGCCTGCCTCAGCCTCCCAAAGTCTTGGGATTACAGGTGTGAGCCACCTCGCCCAGCCAAAAGTTGTATGTTTTTATCATTCGTCCCTAAAACAACCCTGCAAAGTGAAGAAAAATAGTATTTATCTGGGTTAATAAGTTGCATTTTGATACTAATTCTAGGACCACTTTTTTTGTTGTTGTTGTTAGGACCACTTTTATTTCTAGCAAGCATAAGGCATTGTAGGTCTTTTGGTTTGTTTGTTTGTTTTGTTTTTTGAGACAGAGTCTTGCTCTATTACCCAGGCTGGGATGCACTGGCACAATCTCAGCTCACCACAACCTCCACCTCCTGGGTTCAAGGTATTCTCCTGCCTCAGCCTCCTGAGTAGCTGGGATTACAAACTACTCAGGAGGCTGAGGTATGGCATACTCATGGTATGCCACCATGCCTGGCTAATTTTTGTATCTTTAGTAGAGACAGGGTTTCACCATGTTAGCCAGACTGGTCTCCAACTCCTTCAAGTGATCTGCCTGACTCAGCCTCCCAAAGTGCTGGTATTACAGATGTGAGCCACTGCACTGGGCCTGGGTTTTTTTGTTTGTTTTTAAGGCAGAGTCTTGTCTATAGGCTGGAGTGCAGAGGGATGATCAAGGCTACTGCAGCCTCAAACTTCTAGGCTGAAGTGATCCTCTCACCTCAGCCTCCCAAATATCTGGGACCACAGACACATGCCACTACAGCCGGGTAATTTAAAAAAAAAAATTTGTGGAGATAAGGTCTCATCATGTTGCCCTGGCTAATCTGGAACTACTAGGCTTGAGCAATCCTCCCGCCATGGCCTCCCAAAGAGCTGGGAATACAAGCGTGAGCCACCATGCCTGGCCAGTAGTTTTATATTGTATTTAGCCTTCACATAAAACAAATTCGTTCATGAATGCTTTCTGCTCAGTTGTTTTTATTTCTTCTTGAAATGTGCCCATTTTTTTCTTCATAATTATGTAGGATGATTTAGACACTGAAACTAAAATGGAAGACCAGGAAAAAGTCCCTGGATCATCTGAACTTGGAGGTAAGAAGTTAATGAAAATGTAGATTAACTCACTTCCAATTCAATTTTATATCTGCTTAACTTTTTTTTTTTTTTTTTACAGAACCAAGTTTAGTTTGTGAGGAAGATGAAATTATGAGGTCTAAAGAAAGTTCAGATATTTCCATTTCTCATTCTCAGGTACAAACTTGATAGTTCCATCTCACTTTTGTTTTGTTCAAAAGACAGTTGCTTATATGCTATTTTTTTATTTTTTAGATTTTGTTATTCCAGGTCTTTTAGAATAAAATTCAACATTTAGAATGCTTATTATTAACTAAACTGGCAATTATATGTTGATGAATTTCGAGTATATTACTGGTGGATTTGTTTAGTAATAAACCTAAATACTCTTGGTAGAATCTGAAAATTACTGGATAGAATCTTAGGCAGTTATTTATTCCACCCTGCTTCGTATTTACAAATGGAATATATAATACCTTTTTGTTGCCTTGAGCATAACATGTTTTTTTTTGTTTGTTTGTTTTTTTAAAAGATGAGGTTTTACCATGATGGCCAGGCTGGTCTTGAACTCTTGACCTCAGGTGATCCACCCACCTCGGCCTCCCAAAGTGCTAGGATTAGGCATGAGCCAACGCGCCCAGCCAGTAACATGTTTTATTTTGCTTTTCAAATACAGTAAAATCCTGAAATAATAGATTTAGGTAATATGAACTTGGAAATAATCTGATTAATGATTGATTGTCTACTTTCCTCTGTCCAGCCTATTTCTCAAATGAGTAGACTAAACTTCTTGTCTTCTGGAAGGGTAATGCCTGATGATCATTTGGGACTTTCTCAGTTCAGTGATTGGTCAATTGTGTAAAGTGTCAGTTTCACTATCTTTTGTGCTTTTCGTGACAGTATGAACCAACTCAAAATTATTGGTTTTAACTTAACAAGACCCTAAATTTTATGTGATTAAATTTTTGGACCCCATTTATTATTTTATGAAAAGGTTTTATTATATTAAGTTATATTTTGTGTAATTATTTTCTTTTTTAGGTTGAGCAGTTAGTCAATAAAACATCTGAACTTGATATGTCTGAAGGCAGAACAAGAAGTGGAAAAGTCTTTCAGAATAAAATGGTAAATATCTCTTTAGGCTTGTTTTCCATTCTAACCTTGTAATTCTCCTCCATATGTGAGTTTATTTTAATATTTCATTTATTAGACCAATATTTACTAAGTACCTATTATGTATCAGGTACTTTACTAGGTGCTTGGGATATAACCTGAATAACATATACTTCTTGGTCTTAGCTAAAATTCGGTAACTAGAAATAAACAAGCAATGATATAGGGCCACTAAAGAAGTCTGAATAGACTACATAGGCAGGCACAAAGAAAGGAATGGTTAATTCACTGAAGGTATATTAAAGGAAGGGATCCAGAAAAGGCTTTGGGAAGAAGTGATACTATCATCCAGACTCCCAGAGAAATTTCCTGGAATGCCAGAATATTCCCATGCTCGATCTCTTTTTTTTCTTTTTAAAGTAAATTTCATTTAAGTTCCAAGATACATGTGCAGGATGTGCAGGTTTGTTACATAGATAAATGTGTGCCATAGTGGTTTGCCACACCTATCAACCCACCACCCAGGTAGTAAGCCCCACACGTATTAGCTATTTATCCTAATGCTCTCCCTACCCCCGCCCCCCTGACCCAGTGTGTATTGTTCTCCTCTTTGTGTCCATGTGTTCCCATTATTCAGCTTCCACTTATAAGCAAGAACATGTGGTGTTTGGTTTTCTATTCCTGTGTTAGTTTGCTGAGGATAATGACTTCCAGCTCCATCCATGTCCCTTCAAAGGACATGATCTCATTCCTTTTTATGGCTGCATATTTTCTTTATCCAGTCTATCATTGATGGGCATGTGTGTTGATTCTATGTCTTTGCTATTGTGAATAGTGCTGCAATGAAAATATGCATGCATGTATCTTTTTAATAGAATGATTTATGTTCTTTTGTGTATATACCCAGTCAGAAAAAGCTAAGTGATACACATCACACATGCACAGTGAGTTCCATTTTCCACTANTTTTTGAGACAGAGTTTTGCTCTTGTTGCCCAGGCTGGAGTGCAATGGAACAATCTCCCCTCACTGCAACTTTTGCCTCCTGGATTCAAGTGATTCTCCTGTCTCAGCCTCCTGAGTAGTTGCGATTACAGGTGGCCACTACTACACCCAGCTAATTTTTGATATTTTTAGTAGAGTCAGGGTTTCATCATGTTGGCCAGGCTGGTCTCGAACTCCTGACTTCAGGTGATCCACCCGCCTTGGCCTCCCAAAGTGCTGGGATTACAGGCGTGAGCCACCATGCCCGGCCAGCATGCATGTATCTTTATAATAGAATGATTTATATTCCTTTGGGTATATACCTAGTAATGGGATTGCTGGGTCAAATGGTATCTTTGATTCTAGGTCTTTGAGGAATCACCACACTGTTTTTCACAATGGTTAAACTAATTTGCATTCCCACCAACAGTGTAAAAGTGTTCCTATTTCTCCACAGCCTCACCAGTATCTGTGGTGTCTCATTGTGGCTTTGATTTGCATTTTTCTGATAATCAGTGATGCTGAGCATTTTTCATGTTTATTGGCCACATAAATGTTTTCGTGTTTATTGGCCACACTTCTTTTGAGAAGTGTCTGTTCATGTCCTTTGCCCACTTTTTAATGGAGTTGTTTGTTTTTTCTTGTAAATGTTTTAAGTTCCTTGTAGATTCTAGATATTAGACTTTTGTCAGATGGATAGATTGCAAAAATGTTCTGTAGGTTGTCTGTTCACTCTGAAAAATATGGAATGCTTCACGAATTTGCATGTCATCCTTATGCAGGGTCCATGCTAATCTTCTCTATATCATTCTAATTTTAGTATATTTGCTGCCAAAGTGAGCACCATGCTCGATGTTATAAATTGAGTATCTTGTTAATAAGATATTACAAATTAATCTTTTGCATATCTATATTGTTCTAATATTTGCTGCCAAAGTAAGCATCATGCTCGATCTTACAAACTGAGTATCTTGCTAATAAGATATTACTAATTAATCTTTTGCATATATCTTGTATAAAATGAATCTCATGTTCTTAAAGGAAAAAAATCACTGCTTTATTTTAGCTTTTGGTATGAATTATACTAAATCAAAATTCATATTTGATTTTAGACTTTAAGTTACTCTCAAAGGTTCATCAGGGGTGAAGAAAAAGCATTCTGTAAAATAAATAAAATATCCAAAGTTTAGGAAAGAAATAGCTCACTCTGTTAGTGGTGTGCTAGAACATTTCTTTCCAACTCTTCACTCAGAGATATCATGTTGGTAGCTTAAATTGGACTTAAATATTGGTAGTATTCACAGCACGGAAATCAGCAAATGCCTCAGGGGTTGTTTCTGTCATAGAGCTGGCTATTAAACATTTATCAGAACACTACTCATTATAGTGCCATTTTTAGGTGTCTTCCCCTACCCCTGTTCTCAATGGGAAGTTAGAACTGGCAGAAGGCAGCATTCAAATGAGTATGCTCATGAAAGCAAGAGATAAAGGAATGTCAAGATTTACTACTTATAGAAGCAAAATATTCATCCTAGCCAATTTCTGTTTGGATGAATAACCTTTACTAGGATATAGGGATAGAGACCAGAATTTAAAAATTATTAAGCAAGATTTCCTCGTAATGTAACATTAAAATGCTTTGAGGACATAAATTTATTTCTGAAACTGCACACGTTTTTGGACATGAACTCTGAGCCAGTGTACTCCTGATTTTGAGAATTATTACTGAATTGTGGTTAGAAAAGGGCAAGCAATGAAAATATTCACTATTATATATACTAAGGAATTATCATTGGAAAGAAAATTTCAAACATCAGAAAAGAAGTATGTCCTTTTAGAGAATAGTTATATGACACCTAATCATTTGTAATTTCCAATACTCATTTTAATAACTGTATATACAGCATTATTCACAGTAGCCAAAAAATGGGAAAAACCTAAATATACATCAACAGATGAATGGATTAATAATGTGGTGTATTCATACAATTGAATATCGGCCATAAAAAAGAATGGAGTGCCAATACATGCTACAACTTGGATGAACCTTGGAAACATGCTAATTAAAGGAAGTTACTCACAAAAATTCACATATTATATTATTTCATTCATTTGAAAGTCAGAACTGGGAAAGTTATTGAGACAGTCTGAAGGCTCATGGGAGGATGTCAGAATAAGAGAGTGATAGGTAAGGGAAATGGGGTTTCTTTTTAGGGTGATGAAAGTGATCTAAAATTGATTTTGGTGACGGTTATACAGCTCTGCGAATGTACTGAAAATCATTGAATTGTATACTTATAAATGGGTGAATCATATAGTGTCTAAATTATATCTCAATAAAGCTGTTTTTTAAAAAAATTGTATATCCAGCTGGGCACTGTGGCTCACTCCTATAATCCCAGCACTTTGGCAGGCTGAGGCAGGAGGATCACTTGAAACCAGAAGTTTCAGGCTGCAGTGAGCCATGATTGTGCCACTGCATTCCAGCCTGGGTGACAGAGGGAGATCCTGTCTCTAAAAAGTAAATAAATAAATAAATATTGCATATTGCTCCATAAGATTGAAAAATCCAAGTATTAGCTGTTCTTTGAGAAATAACCAATTAGTAATTATTCTATCTTTGTGGAGGCAAATGGAAATCCACCAGTAAAATCTTCCAAAGAAAATCGGAAGAGAAGTCAACATGAATCTGGGAGAATAGTAAGTCTTATGATAATGTATAGTTTGAATACAATGGCAAGTATCAGAATATCATTACTATAAATTAAATTCAAAATGATGAATTTTATATCCCTCGATTTACCAGAGAGCTCTGATATTCAAATTTTGTTTAAATATATTTTGTTCTAAAAATCGAGGTGATTTTGAAATAAGATGCACTATGTTGGTTTATTAGTTTTTTCCATGTAAACATCTCCTGTCTCATTCCATGAATGATTTAAAGTAATTGGAGGAACTGTAATATAAATTAAAAATCAGTGTCAGGAAAAATATAAGTAGAACGAGAAAGTGACAGAACAAGAATATTAAGGCCATTTTATTTCCATACAACTGAAATTGGGCCACAAATTTGATCTCAGCTTTCTAGAGACCAAAACTAAAGTAGAAGGAGGATAAGTTACTAAATCCATGTGTTCTCTAAAAATATATGGTCTCCTTCTAGTACCTCTAGAGAAAGAAAATTTTTCCTGACCTAAACTGTATAGTTGTTTCATATTTAGAACCTTATTTTACCAAATCAAATAATGTATTTGCCATTTCTGAGTTAATTATTCATATTTTTCTAACTAGATATTTTAGTATTATTAGTAGGTTAAAATTAGACAACTGAAAACTTAAGACTATTTTTAAAAATCAAATGTTAGGCCGGGCACAGTGGCTCAAGCCTGTAATCCCAGCACTTTGAGAGGCGAGGCAGGTGGATCACGAGGTCAAGAGATCGAGACCATCCTGGTCAACATGGTGAAACCCTGTCTCTACTAAAAATACAAAAAATTAGCTGGGCATGGTGGCGCGTGCCTGTAATCCCA